AATTGTGCCATGGATGGAGTTTTACACATAAAAGTGAAAGAAAAGAATAACCCATCTCATGCTCTAATGAGAATTTGTTGATGTTTGACATAATCATTAATAACTAAATATTGCATTTTTTGGATGGTGTGCTTCAGTTATAGGAGCATAGATGTCAGTGGTTTTAATCAGTTCAAGTTTTGGGCTAAACCAAGAATAATTGGAGTATTAAGGAAAGGAGCCTTGAATACACAGATTGATCTAATTTATAACTTCTTAACTCTAAAACTGCGCTTTCAATTGACTGACATAGCTATTGTATCACAAGACGTAAAAGTATACTTCTTATCTATGTACAATGACGGTCTATTCTAAACCATGATGAAACTTCCACATCTGCATTGCACCCTGAGGAGTTGTTGTCAGGCAGAATACGAGACCTTTTAGGACCTGGCGTCTGGATCCCTCCAAGGTTTTGCGTTGGGCTTATATTATTAAAACGTACAATCTATTGAGAATGTCACCACGTGTCCTGTTTAATTTCCCACTTGTAAATAACCCTTTTCTAATGATTTGTGATTGTGTGTATTTATCCTGAGCCTTGTGATGTTTTGTAATCCGACTTATGCCAATGAATAAACTGCTGTCTACTCGTCTCTGCCAAAGCTCTTGTAAGACTGTTGGTCTAACTCGGGATTGCCAGACTGATATATATATTTTCTACTATTATTACTACCTTGAGCATTGGTGGTAATGGGCTACTATGGTATGATATACATCATTTTCTCAAAACAACCATGCCGTTTAATGTATTCTAAACTTTGAACTTGCATTTATCTGGAATCATCAGGGAAATATAACTGTCAGTCTTCACTTACATTTCTTGTTTACCCAAGAGTCCATATTTAGTCCCAACAGTAACTAAACTCATTTTGTTCAGGGGGAAAAAACCACTACCAGAAAAGAATATCCAAACGTGTGTCAATTAAAGAAAATATTTGTCAAAAGGTCTTCATAATGTAAAAAAATATGATAAAAGGAAAGCACTTTTTACTTTTGGCCATTGACCACCGATTAGTTTTACTTTTTGTAAAGCCACTGTGTCTTTACAAAAAGTGAAGTGTGTTTACTTTTGCATGCGCTGGAAACGGCGACAAGTCTAAGGTGATGTTCCACCACTGCTGCTGTGACCTGTCCTGCTCCACCCAGAGGCTTCACCACTGCTGCTGTGACCTGAAGGGCTTATTACTATTGCTAGCTTTTTAGAAGGAACTATTTTATTTATTAGTTTTGCTGCTACTGAACGCCTGATTTTCTCCTACGAGGGATCAATAAAGTATCTATTTGATTATAATTATTACACAACTCATGCTTAAATTGTTTATGTTAATGCAATTCCTACATTTAAGTGAAAATCCAATATAAAGTGATTCCGAGCACCTTAGGGCCTAAGGCGCTCGGACGTCATTAGCTGGTTTTGTAAGTAATATATTATTGAACACGAGGATTCCATTGTTCCAGTGTAGTTTGTGTAATGTGTCTATCGGGCCTCATGGGGGCAGTGATGCAGCAGTCTCCTGGTGGCAACACCACATTGTGCAATAATACCCACAGTTGTGTGACTGACAGAATTGCTGATTTTGGTTAACTTGAGTAAAGTTAATTAACAGGTAAACCTTGACTTTACTTAAGTTAACCAATAAGCAAAGCAGGGTTTATGATGAATTATGATCCGGTAATGATAATGGAAGAGGCAGTGGCCGCTCTATTATGAATAAACATAAGAAGTCCATCCATCTATCTTCTTCCTCTTAATCAATTTCAGGGTCAGGGCAGCTCTGTTAGCATTAGAGCCGGCCGGCTACTTCAGGTACTTCCGGCTCGCGTCAGCGTTCTGGTGTGAAGTCCTCTGCGTCTGAAAACTAGAGAATGCACGTCACCATAGACTTTGCATTGAAACCCGACGCAACGCATGATCCGGTCTGAAAGCACCATAATGGGTTACTCCTTTTTTTTTTTTACTCAGAATGCAATTTCTGTTTCAAGAAATGAGGCAAACCATCACATTTCTGCATTGAACAAACACACTGACGGCGGCCTCTTTGCTCCATAACTTTATTCTTTTCACAAAGTTCAAGTATAAAAGACGATCAAAGGGCTGCCCTCAGAAAACAGAGGCACAGCGCCATAGCACCTGAAAAACACAGCTTGAACATTTACAAGTCTGGAGTCTCACGCTTCTCCTGCCTCAAGTTGCACTTGAGTCTTTTTAGTCCGACATCAGATCTTCTCGGTCAGCATACAATAATAGTCCATTAGAATGTATTTACCTATCGAATACTTTAAAATCCATTGCATATTTTTCATTTATTGTTCTGAAATACAAAAATATTATGAAAGGCACAAAAACATGAAGAGCATTGTTAAATAGGTTTAAAAAGCTGTCTAAATATTTGGAATAGAACAGATTTGTGATTGTGATGCATATACATACATGAAGCTATTAGCTAAGACTGAATTTCCACATTTCAAAGACATTTCCAAAAGTAAAAAAAACAAAAAAACTTTATACTGGCAAAATTTTGTCAGTATAATAAATGCCAAAAAATATGAACATTTTCAGCTCAACTCATCTAATTTACTTCAATATAAATAGTTAAATTTATCCTTATTATGATATACATGATAGCTTTAAACATGTCTTAAGGCTGATAAGATTCTTTTAGTGTAAAGAAGCTAGTACACCATGCTAACATGGTACACATTTGTGGATGTTTGGCATTTGTGCTTCAGAGCTGGGTTCCTGAGTTGGATTCCACTGCCAGACAAGGCCTTTCTGTGTGGAGTTTGCATGTCTGCGTTGTTTTCCTCCAGGTGCTCCAGTTTTTCCCCTACCACTAAAACACTTACAAAAGGTCTGATTGTAAAGAGAGAGAGGAAGGATACTGATGATCGGAGGCTTCGATGCGCCAGTGTGTTCAGTGTGAATGGGGAAATATCTGTACTCCAAAAACATTGTAAAGCGCTTTGGGTGACCTTGGTCTGTGAAATGTACTGTATCAATAAAGATTAGTTTATTAAAACAGCAGCACAACTAACAGAGATATCAACTAAACTAATCAACAAACGCAACAAAGGAAACTCAAATCACCAACATCTGACATCTGCAAAAGAGAAAATAATTTAATGGACTGGGACAATGGAAAACTAGTAGGAACAGAAGAACATAAATAAAAAAGATGGATACGAGAGGCGGTTGAAATCAGGAAGCGGGGAGCACGGACCATCAACAGAGACGAGAGGGCTTTCACCTTGGCTCACACTTGGGCCTTCTCCAGAGACCACAGCACTGCAGGAGGCGCGGCTAGTCTTACAGATCTGTCTGGTCTGTCAGACTGGTCGCATCCAGTAACAACAGCTGATAAGAGACATGTCAAAACATCATGTGTGTCCTCTGACAAAGGCTGAAGTCTACCACCAAAATATGTCATGTAATTAAGTAGTGCTAGCTTCTTCACTCTCTTTGTCTTATGAAAACAACCTTATAAGCCTTAAACTCATTTACTAATTTCTATCTTGAAAATGGAAAGCTATACTTATTCCATTGACAAATCTGTTTATACAAAGTTCAAGCAATGTTTAGTGCAAGCAACTTAAATTATACAATTTGCAAATTACGACAGCTAAAATTCCTGCAGCGTTTCTGCAGTCATACAGTACATGTACTGGGAGACCGGTGTTACCAGGCTTAAGGTTGACAACGACTGTAGGAGGTCATTTACACAAGGACGCTACGACAGTAAAACAAAATAGTTGGGTATCTGATTGGCCTTTCATTCACACAGAGACGGTGTTTAAGCGGGGTGAAAACCCTTGCATTGAGAAACGGCCTCCAGAGTGGAACAGAACAGATACGGTACTTCACAGCCATGTGAAGAGAAAAGTGTGAACTCTCTGGCTGCAATGATCTCACCACTTCCCCCCACGTACATTTGGACATACGTAGTAGCCCAGAACAGACGTAAACAACAATGGCGGCGGCTCACCTAATGCTATGTGTGCGTCGAGAACTACACAGGAGCAGTTCTAAACGAGGTCCGTCCAAACGAGACCATGTTTTAGTTTCCATTTTCGCTGCTGTTAAATGCAGAATGATGTTGGTGCATTCTTTCCTCTAAGACACTAAAATGTAAAATATGCAAAAATAGAACCTTGTTCTTTCACATAAAATAACCTTAATTTCACATAATAACCCTTTAAAAGGTTCCTCCACCAAACAAAAATTCTCTATCACTAACTCATTACCCAGCTCAAAAGAATTAAAAACATTAAAAGCATTATTGGAAGAAAAGAAATGAGAGAAATTGCAGATTGTCTCTGTGCTACTTTAAAGGTGGGATACCTAACTTTGGATTTATTTTTGGCCTCTGTCACATCCTCAGGTAACCCTTTACAGATGGAAAAGGGCAAAAGAAAAGACCATCTTCACTCAGCCAATCAGCTCTCTGGCCAAGAAGTCAGTGACTTACAGGGCAACTATGCAAACGGTAACACGTTTTCTTATATTAAAACATTATGTAGTGGACTGATTTGTTCCCAACATTTTACTGTCACAAGACTCCTTCTGTTGGGGCCAACAGCAAGAGGAACAAAGAAAGTTAGGTACCCCAGCTTTAAGAGCCAGATTAAGGATTTTCGGCAGATCAAGCCTCAGGCGGTGTGAGCAGCGGTTATGAGAAAGCTAATTTTTTACACAAACAAACAAACTACAAGATACTATTGAAACAAATTAAAAAATAATTGCAATGAGAGGTGTGGATGTATGCTGCTGCTTTATATTGTCCTATTAATCCAACAGTCAATTCAACAGCAAAGGCCCAGACAGCTTCAATGGTGGTTCTCTGGTTCTCTTGGTTCCCTGGGTCGCTGGTCTCTGGATCCCCTGGGTCTCTGGGATCTCTGGCGTCTGGGTCCCCTGGGTCCCCTGGGTCTCTGGTCCTGGTTCAGTCGTGATGAGGTCTTTACCTGTGGGTGATCTGGTTGTTGATGAGACCTGGGAATGTCTGCTCCGTCTCCTCGCTCAGAGAACCTCCTGTGGAGATTCATGTTAGTGGCGTGTGTTCATGGCGGTGACGTGTGTTCAGTGTGTGGGATTTGTTTCTCACCGTTATGACAGTTGTACATCCAGACTCGGTGGCCGTCGTATCGACACCTGCACTTCACAATGTTATTGGAATAATCAGACTCGGGCACCTCAAAGTTTGGGTTTATGACAATCTGCAGAAGACAAGACAAAAACATAACAAAAACACAACAAAACAAAACAGGAAGCAGAGACAAGAGTTCCTATAGTGGCTGTGAAATGAAAAAGACTTGCGAAAGACTCACGCAGCAGTGTGCTGCTGAGTGAATTTCAGATTCACGCCCGTAATAGAAGTAAGAAGCATACACACCATACGCCAACGCTCGAGCTGCGCTTGTCAACCCAAAATAGGAGCCTTGCATATTTTGGCTGCTCAGTTCCCAGTCAAAAGACATGGGACACATGTTTGTGCACTTGGCACTAGATGAGCTCCACACAATCACAGCACATGTTTTAAACATTAGACGGCAGTGTTCCCCATTACAGGTTAATGCAGGGCATCGTGCCTGCCACCTTTGTCACCCGCCTTAATTTCACCCCAATTCCTGCCTCATTGCCTGTAGAAACCCAACCCTGATCGCCCACGTGCCTCTCTATTGATACCAATACTGCCCCGCTTACCGGCAGACAAGTGACGATCAGTCTGTTAAACATACAGTATGTTCATTGGCTACAATGGTAGTATTGACCTGGCCAGACCTCATAAACAATGGTCAATTAATCCAATACAATGCGTTTCGAGAGAGGCGGCTCTCGGCCAATCAGAATGCGACTTTTTGCCTCTCATCAAGTTTGAAGAAAATTATATATTTTTTGACAACTCCCAAGTACAGATTGTAGAGGAGTGCACGTTTCTGGGTTTAACTCTGTCTGATGACCTGAAATGGGTTTTAAAACACTGACCGAGTCGTTAGGAAAGCTCGTCAGCGTCTCTACTTTCTGCGGAAACTTAGCGAATTTACCACTAACTCTAAGATTCTGCTTAACTTTTATCGCTGCACCATGGAGAGTTTACTTGTTGGTTCTGTGACTGTGTGGTTTGGAAACATCACAGACAAAGAAAAAAGAGCTTTAAACAAGGTGCTCCGCTCTGCGAAGAGGACCGTGGGCTGTGAGCTTCCTGTTCTGGAGGTTCTTTATGAATCCAGACTTTTAAACAAAGCTCTTAGGATTGTTAATGACTCTTCTGGCCACCCTGGGAAAGCCTTGTTCCAGCTTCTTCCCTCTGGCAGAAGATATCGTTCTCTGAGATGCAGGACATCTCGATATGCAAACAGCTTCTTTCCACAAGCTGTCATAAGTTTGAACAGAGCACTTTAATGATCTTGCACTTTGTATTGAAATTGTTTAGCCAATCGTTTTCACAGTGACAGCTGTTTTATTTGTTTGTTTGTTTGTTTTTTCTGTACTTTTAATGTTGTTTTATGTCTGTACTTGTGCACACTGGGGACTTTTGCTAATGAATTCCAATGTGGTTTTACTGCAAATGGAAAATAAATTAATCTGATCTGAATCTAATGGAGTCTAATAAAACACAGATTGTTCAAAATGGGGAAAATAACATATTGTTATATTTATTATATAAGACAAGATATGTTTATTTGTGAAGTACAGTTCACACAGTGCTTATTATTATTATAATTATTATCATCATAATAGTTATCCAATTATCCAAACCATGCTAATGTGGCTCTTTGATTTTATTGGAATTCAGTGACTTATCTCATCTGACATGGATGAGACAGGCTTGACAGTGATTCTGGACATCGTTTTTCTTTCTTTCATAAAGTCTCACGTCTGACCACAACAACCACAGAACAAGAGGACAAACACATACATGGGATAAACTACAGAGGGAGAGCAGCAGCCACCACACCTTTGTGTGCTCTGCTAGCTGCCAGTGTGAATACAAGGAGAGAAGAGGTGCGCGTCACTCAATGCGCTTGCGCTGAAAAGGGGGCTGTAGTTCTGACCACATTTTTCAGAGCAGAAATCGGATGTTACCTGGAAGATGTAGTCTCCGGGCTTGACCTCAGTGATGTCCACCCACTGACAGTCGATGTCGTGTCTGTACGTGTCCCAGCAGCCCACCGTGATGCCCTGGTCCCCAAAGTTTGCACACTCATATCTCTTTTCGATGCCTACAACACAACATAACTCTCTGATAAGGAAACAATATGTGAACCTACTTCATTTCTGACATGACATATGTGTTGGGATGACATCCGTATTATAATAGAAAATACTCTTCCTGTGTGTATTTCACCCCCTGCTGGTTGTGACACGCACACACACACACACACACACACACACACACACACACACACACACACACACTGTGGCTAACTTTAGAAGCCTCATTTCTGTAGATGATGTGCAGAGAGTTTGAGATTTCTACTCATCATGAACATTCACGTTTGAGATGTTCATTTTCCTGATTTGGTCATGAATACATAATCGAGAGTTTCTGGCAATACAACCACAATTACGACTTAGTTGAAATGTCTGTATACCAGAATTTGTATACAATCTTATGGCCCCAGAAAATAATGTCAAAAGGGAGGGGGCCTACCTTCGTCACACTCAGAGTCCTCCAGGCAGAAGCTGGCCTTGTGCCCCTCGGCCACTTTGGTCCCGTTCAGGCTGTAGAGGTCATAGAGGGTGAAAACCTCCATGCTGTGGTAGTGTCTGAAGACAAACACAACAGCAGACTTTTACTTGAGTGCTCCTGAGGGAACACACACTCACCACGCACCAAACAGCACGTTGGCTTATACAACAATCAGAATCAGAATCATTTTTATTGCCACGTAAGTAACAGGAGGTCACAGACTAGGAAATTGCTTTGGCTCAGTGCAACAGTCAAAAAGAGATAATAAAAATAAGAATAAAAAACACTTCTAAAGAATAAATTTAAATTTAAAATAGAGTTACAGTTACTATTTACAATATACAAGTGCACATGGTGCACACAATGTAAGGTGACAGCAGTACAGTGAAGTAAAGTGACGTATGATGGGCAGTAAAGTGACTTTATAAAGGGCGGGGGGACAGGTTAAGAAGTGTTCAAGAGTCCAACAGCAGAGGGGAAGAAACTGTTCTTGTGGCGGGAGGTTCTAGTCCTGATGGACCGCAGCCTCCTGCCTGAGGGGAGTGGTTGGAATAGTCCATGTGCAGGGTGAGAGGGGTCGGCTGTGATACGACCAGCCCGGCCTCGAGCTCGGGCGACGTACAGGTCCTGCAGCGATGGAAGGCTGCGGCCAATCACTTCCTCTGCAGAGCGCACAATGCGCTGTAGTCTCTGTTTGTCCCTGACTGTGGCTCCAGCGAACCACACAGTGACGGAGGAGGTGAGGATGGACTCGATGATGGCCGTGTAGAACTGCACCAACATCTGTGCAGGCAGCTTGGCTTTCCTGAGCTGCCGCAGGAAGTACATCCTCTGCTGGGCCTTCTTGATGAGGGAGCTGATGGTCGGCTCCCACTTGAGGTCCTGGGTGATGGTGGTGCCCAGGAAACGGAAGGACTCCACAGAGGTGATGGGGGAGTCCATCACGGAGGGTGGGGGTGGGGGGACAGTGCTCTTCCTGAAGTCCACAATCATCTCCACTGTCTTCTGGGCGTTCAGCTCCAGGTTGTTGTCACTGCACCAGGACACCAGCCGGTCCACCTCCCTCCTGTAGGCGGACTCATCGTTGTTGGAGATGAGTCCAATGAGGGTGGTGTCGTCCGCGAACTTGATCAGCTTCACGGAGTCGTGGCTGGAGGTGCAGTGGTTGGTGTACAGGGAGAAGAGCAGGGGAGAAAGAACACAGCCCTGTGGGGCTCCTGTATTTATAATCCGAGAGTCCGAGACATTCTTCCCCAGACGCACTCGCTGCTTCCTGTCCGTCAGGAAGTCAGTGATCCACCTGCAGGTGGAATCGGGCACGTTGAGCTGGGAGAGCTTGTCCTGGAGCAGGGATGGCAGGATTGTGTTGAAGGCAGAGCTGAAGTCCACGAACAGGACCCTGGCGTAGGTCCCCGGGGAGTCCAGGTGCTGTAGGATGTGGTGGAGGGCCAGGTTAATGGCGTCGTCTACAGATCTGTTGGCTCTGTAGGCGAACTGCAGGGGGTCCAGGAGGGGGGAGGTGAGGGACTTGAGATGGGAGAGAACCAGGCGTTCAAATGACTTCATGACGACAGACGTAAGTGCTACAGGTCTGTAGTCATTGAGTCCTGTGATCCTGGGCTTCTTCGGGACGGGGACAATGATGGAGGATTTGAAGCAGGCCGGGACATGGCAGGACTGCAGAGAGGTGTTGAAAATGTCCGTGAACACAGGAGTAAGCTCACTGGCGCAGTGTCTCAGAGTGGCCGGAGACACGTGGTCCGGGCCAGGAGCTTTGCGGGGGTGCAGCCTCAGGAAGAGTTGTTTAATCTCTTTAGCGGCTATTGTTAGGCTGGGGGCAGGGCTGATGGGTGGGTCGTTAGAGTAGTGGGGGGTGGGGGAGGGAGAGGTGTCAGGGGCAGCATCAAAGCGACTGAAAAATAAGTTCAGATCGTCAGCTAGCTTGTGGTCGTCAGCACAGGGGGGGGCTTTGGGTTTGTAGTTGGTGATCTCCCGTAGGCCCCTCCAGACAGAAGCAGTATCGTTGTTACCAAACTGCTCCTGTAGTCGTTCTCTGTGCCGGGACTTGGCTGCTTTCAGTTCTCTCCTGAACTGATATTTAGCTGCTTTGTAGCCGCTGCGGTCCCCCTCCCTGAAAGCAGACTCCTTTGCTTTCCTGAGCTGCCGGAGTTTAGCAGTGAACCAGGGTTTGTCATTGTTATAGATGACCCTGGTCCTTGTTGGAATGATGCTATCCTCACAGAAGTGAATGTATGACGTCACAGTGTCCGTATATTCATCCAAACTATCTGTGGCAGCTCTGAAAAGGTCCCAGTCTGTAGATTCCATGCATGCGCGCAGCTCTTCCACAGCTTCATCAGACCACACTTTGGAGCTCCTCATTGCAGGTTTTGAGAGCTTTAGTCTCTGTCTGTAAGCAGGAACCAGATGTATCATGGAGTGATCTGAGAAGCCGAGGGCTGGCTTGGGAACAGCGCGAAAAGCGCCGAGCACGGTGGTGTAACAGTGATCCAGAGTGTTCTCCTCTCTGGTCGGGCATTTGATAAACTGTCTGTATTTGGGTAATTCCTGGCTCAAGTTTCCCTTATTAAAATCCCCCAGGATAATAATCAGAGAGTCCGGGTATAAGCGTTCCATACACAGTACTTGCTCTGCGAGTGCGCGCTGAGCCTTGCGCGCGTCCGCGCATGGCGGTATGTAAACAGAGGCAAGAATGAATGAAACAATTTCGCGCGGGGAGTAATATGGTTTACAATGAATGAAAAGATATTCCAGAGCAGGAGAGCAGTGCTTGGAGATCACTGTCACATCGTTACACCAGTTTGTATTGACGTAGAAACACAGCCCTCCGCCTCTGCTCTTCCCTGAGAGCTGTTAGTATTAGATAGCAATATGGCCTACGTGCAGGACTGTACAAGGACTCTACAAGGACTCCATGTTATGACTATGATGTGACTGTCTCTTTGTGACACGTATGTCTTTCGATGTGTGATGTGACAATGACTATATAAACTGTGTACTGCCTTTATTCTGTCTGAGAGAAAGAAACAGAGTAAACCAGTGGAACTTGAGAGAAACTTAAATAAACTTCCAGAGTTTGGCACACCACGATCCGTCTCTGTCTGCCTAAATCCTAACAGATTTGGTGGAGAATGCGCGGCTCGGTTTGTGCCATTCTCTGGATTGTTTTGGGGGAGTTTGCTCTGTTTCTTTTCCTCTGCGTGAGAGATCGGCATGCTGTGTCTGGGAGCGGGGATTCCAGCAGGCTGGAAGAGCTGTTCCTGGATGCTTCTTGTCGCTTCTGTCACTTTTGTTTTTTAAATTGAAGATTCCGACGCGGAAAAGAGTTGGCAGACCTCTCGGACAGTCCTTGGATCCTGTTTGACAAGAATAAGGTAAGCAGACACCTTTTTTAATATGTAAAGTCTGCATAATTGGATATTAGCTAAATTTTGGTCTGTTTTTGGGGTCTGTCAAACTCTCTAAATTGTATTTTGAAGAAGTCTCGGGTTAAAGTCCCTTTGAGCCTCGGGGTTAAAGTCCCTTTGAGAAAGTCTCGGGGTTAAAGTCCCTTTGAGCCTCGGGGTTAAAGTCCCTTTGAGAAAGTCTCGGGGTTAAAGTCCCTTTGAGCCTCGGGGTTAAAGTCCCTTTGAGAAAGTCTCGGGGTTAAAGTCCCTTTGAGCCTCGGGGTTAAAGTCCCTTTGAGAAAGTCTCGGGGTTAAAGTCCCTTTGAGCCTCGGGGTTAAAGTCCCTTTGAGAAAGTCTCGGGGTTAAAGTTCCTTTGAGCCTCGGGGTTAAAGTCCCTTTGAGAAAGTCTCGGGGTTAAAGTCCCTTTGAGAAGAAGCTTCAGGGTTAAAGTCCCTTTGAGAGAAACCATGGTGTAGAATTAAAAGTAATTATAAAAAGGGAAACGTTAAACACTAAAGAGTGCCTTTTGTTACTAGTGTGGAAAGTGATCACTTCTAGATTTGGATGACAAAAGTATAAAGAACAACATCAGTTATATTCGCTTAACAAAGTAATCTTGAAAGTTATTCTTCTGTATCTTTTTGCCTGTGTGTGCACATCTCTATCTGCTGCCGTTGTCAGGGAAACGGCCCCCACCTTCGCTGCTCTGGCTCTGAATCAAAGCTACTGCTTTAGGATTTTTGGCTTTTCATAGTAGTTATTCCGTTAAATTTGCTAAATTTGCCATTTGAACATTGTGTTAGACACAGTTAAACGTTTTTAAACACCATTAGGGAATAGAAGTTTTGAATTAGTATGTTTTTGAAACCCACAGATTAGTACAAAAAGCTTTGCTTTTTTTTTTTAAATCTGCTGCTTATTTTGTGAGTCCATTATTGTATCTCTGATATATTTCATAGCTGTTTGTGAGAATTTTTTTTATGTTTTTATTTTAGTTACAAAAGCCGTTTTTCAAACATTTAAATTAGAATCTGTGTTAAAAGTGATTATTGATTATAGACTTCGTCTAAAAAAGAAAGAGGGAATTAGGAATAGAACAGGATAGCTGTAAAAGTATTATTAAGTTAAACTGTGACCCAATTTACAGTCTAAAAGCTGCGAGTTTTGTGAGTTTTGTTTTGTCTATAGCTCTGGCCTTGCAGCTGCTGCTCACTGCAGGGCGAGCAGAGTTTGATAGTGTCTTCCAATTCAAAATGTTTTTAAAAGTTTATTGAGTGCATTTGAAGAATGCAGCAATTATTTTAAATTAGTAGAAATAGTATGCTGAGATAAATATGTGTAAAAGGGAACAGGCCATAAAGTGAAACCAAAGTGGTTTCAAGATTAAAAACATCCACACAGTACAAAAGTATTTAATCATCGTTTTAAAGTTTAAAACGGTTGTTTGTTTTGAGTATAATTGTTGTTTTGATAACTTCTTTAGTTTCTGGTTTAAAATGTCAGCATTAGTAGGTATAAGGAATCTTTATTTTACATAGCGCTTGGGGAAAACCAGCACGCGCCTTCATAATTGTTTTGACTTCAGAGAGAAAAAACAATATCATTCACAATCTTGTTGTTTTTAAATTGACTCATAAGGTGGTTTTCCTAGAACCAAGAGCACAAACTGTACTGGGTAAACTGGGATGCTGGACACTGGACACCAAAGCCAACCCAGCCAGGTCACAGATCTAAGAGCAAAGGGAAATGCCACCTCCTTGCCCCTCCCCACGCCACTGCAGAACTGAGTGGGTGTGAGAGAGACCGGGGCCATGAAAAGAGGGTATCTGGAGACGTGATGGGTGGAGCATCAGGGAGAGACCTGAATGAGAGTTGAAAGTGTGTCCAGTTGGTTTGCATCACCACAGTGTGACCTTTGACACCTACAGGTGGTTCGAGGAGTCTGGAGAAACAACCCCAAAATTCACATACACACACACACATACACACATACACACACATACACTCACACATTCACATTTACATATAGATACATGAAAAAGCAGAACATGAGAAAAAAGCATTTTAAAAGTTTACTCCAATGTAAACACATATTTTTAATTGTCTATCACTTGAATCTTTAGTTGAATCAGTATTTTTTGAGACCAGAAATGTTCATTTGAATTCTATATTGTCATGGACATAATTGACCTCTGTCCTGACACTTTTGATTTGTTGATTTTGTACTGTGTGAAGTAATTACATTGATGATAATTAGATCTGATAAAAACACAAATTAGAGAAGTAAACTGCGCTTGCTTTTGTCTGAGGGACAGAAGCAACAGCATGAATAGAAATTGTGTTAAAGTAGAATCAAAGTGATTTAACCATAGAGAGTAACTACTGCATAACAAGCTGTGTACAGGAACTGAGGGACACTGCACCATTGACCAGAAGTGCATCGCCAAATGACCTGATGTGCTTCAAACTGAAAAAGACTGTATCTGGAGATCTGATGTGCATCTGGAGTGACCAAAACCATGGCTTGGACCCTACTGATGTCCAAGATGACATCTCTATTATGACCTGACCTGATGACGACTGAG